TTACGGCCTGACGTAAACGGCGTTTACGCCACAGCTGCGCGCGCGTCAGCGCGCTCCTCGATTGAACCACCAACCTATTGTTCATACTGCTCCACGCTAACCGCGATTCGAGATTCATTCACGGGATGTACCGCGACTGCTACAGTTTGTTTTGGAACATTCGCTCCTTTCCTAATGTCAACTGGTGAAGTCTCTGTGGTTGCGATCGATGACCCTTTCCTTATGAAGTTCCCAGGGTGGGTCCGGGAGAAGTCCGACGATGGCGAATATGCCCGCTGTCCTAAATGTGGGAGACTCATTAAGATAAGTAAGAAGTCTTCCAGTGGTGTCAAGTATCACCAAAAGTCTTGCGGGAAAAGGAAGCGCAGCGATCCTAGCAAAACTGGGAACAAGGAGAATCAAGCAGAGTGCAGAGAGGCGCTATATCAGTTTGTGGCCCACTCTGGCGTCCCGCTCTGCACCGTTGAGAATGAATACTTCAAACGCCTACTACGGTGCTTGAATCCACATTTCGAGGCTCCTAGCCGCCGAGATCTAGTTCGTCAATTGCGAGACAGAGTCGCCAATCACGTGGAGATGGTGCAAAGTAATTCAGCTACTCGGTCATGCTTGAACTGATCGCGTGGTTTGCTCTCAGAAAGGCTCGACGGAGTCTCTCAAATAAGCCTGAGTATCGACGCGTGGTCGAGAAGCAGCCGTTCGAGCTTTCTATGTGAGCGATTGATATAGCGGATTTTTAATGCTGAGCTTCCAGGTATAACAGCACACTTTGTCAGAACCGACAAAGTCCGCCGTCAGATTGTGGATTTTAGACGCATCCAAGGCCGTCATACGGCCAGCAACCTTGCCGGGGAGTTGATGAATACGATAACGGAAACTGGGATCGGAGACCGGGTTTGTAGCGTGACCAGTGATGCAGCTTCGGTCAATATCAAGATGATGAAGCTGATTGAGCAAAAGCCTGGGACCATTATCCACGTATTATGTGTGGGGCACAAACTCCACCTATCGGTCACTAATGGTCTGGGTCTGTGGTCTTGCAAAACCATCGATGAAGATGATACTAGGTCCAGTCAGCAGACCGAAGATAGCTCCTCCGACGAAGACGGGGATCCGGACGACATCCTCGCAGAAGCTGAGTCCGATTCGGATGCTGAAGATATAGACGAGTCTTCTGACCTCGCGTGGTCGCGGGG